CCAAGAAAGCACTAAGCTGTTGAAAAACAGCCTTTTCAATGATTTTACTTAAAAATGGGAGATTAGATATGGGCCTATAATTGCTCATTAGTGACCTGTCTAGATTGCTCTTTTTTAAGAGTGGCTTAATGACTGTTTTCAGGGCCTGTGAGGAAAAAACCTGAGAGGTCTGTTGGTAGAATATCAAGGCAGCATGAGGAGGATTTCACATGTTGTATTAAGTCCTCCAGTTTTGTCTCATGCTATATGAATTGTTTTGAAGTGGACACGGGGACAAGGCATATCCTGTTACTGACATGGAGGCACTGATTGCTTGTCTAATTGTTTGAATTTTGTCTGTGAAGAAGGAGGCAAATTCATTGCAGGCCCTGCTGGAAGAAGGTCGGAGGCTACAGACACAGGAGATTATAGATGTCATAATGAACCTGGAGATTTGTTTTCCGCCACCTGCGTTCAGCTTTTTGACACACTCTTTTTTGAGTTCTAACCAGCGTGGCATTTCTCCATGGAGATCTTCTCTTACCAGAGACCACCTTCACCTTGGCTGGTGCAATGGCATCAATAACATTTGTAATTTTAGAACTGAAATTATCTACAAGCTCATTGACTGAGACCCGTGAGAGGGCGGGTGTCGAGGAGAAAGCCTCAATAAATGAAAAAGTGTTTTCAGTGATATGCCGTTTTGTGATTACCTCTGTTTGTACATTTGTGTGCACGCAGATAGCACTCTCAAAGAAAACACAGGAATGATCAGAGAGACAAACATCAGCCACCACAACCTTGGAAATTTTCAGACCCTTGGAGATGAAGTCCAAAGTGTGCCCCTTATTGTGCGTGGGCTTCATCACATGTTGAGTCAGTCCATAATTATCAAGAACACAACACAGTTCTTTAGTCCCTCTGTCCTGGGGGTTGTCAACATGGATGTTAAAATCACCAACAATAACCACACAGTCAAAGTCAATACAGATTATAGACAGCAGTTCACCAAAGTCATCAAAAAAGTTTGCACAGCATTTAGGGGGCCTGTAGATATTTAGAAAAATAGCTCGAGAAGAGGAATTCAGCTGAAGAGACAGATATTCAAAAGAAGCAAATTCCCATAAGACATCTTTTTGCATTGGAGGGAGTCATTAAACAAAATGGCAACACCACCTCCTTTCTTATGCACTCTAGCTTCACTCATAAAACTGAAGTTGGGAGGGGTAGACTCGATAAGGACAGCTGCACTCTTATCTTGGTCCAACCAAGTTTCAGTTAAAAACATGAAATTAAGATTATGAGTGATTATAAAATCATTGATTAAAAATGTTTTTCCTGCCAAAGACCTAACGTTTAACAAAGCTAATTTTAGTGTGTTAAAAACATTATCTTACCCAATTTTTGTAGCACTTATGGAGTTGTGGAGTGAAGAGAAATCTGTGACAGCACCTCAAGCTGAGGTGTGAATGCAAACCGTTTTCTCTTTCTGTGCGTGCATGTGTGTGTGCGCGTGCACCTGCAACTGAGTAAGTAGGTTAGCTCGTTGTTGTGATTGCATCTTATAAAACAAATGCTGTGACTCTTCAAAGGTCCCTCCCTCTTGAGTGTGTAGGCTCCAAACTGTCTCCTTGGCCTGTTTATCTCTTCATCTTCCTGTCTATGGCTTCTTCCTCTGTAGAGTTTCGGGAGCCCCGTGTGATTGAACTGTGGGAGGCTGCCAAGAGAGCTAACCTCAGCGAAGATGAGCTGGACTCTCTCAAGGTAGCTCTTACATCACTTGTGACAGTTCTGGAGACACTTCTGCTTTCACCACTTATTTTCGAGAGATTACCTTTTGTTTTCTCTGTGTTTTCTACAGTGTAACTCTTAGAATAAGACTAGAAACTTTTAAATTATGTGCTCTTTTGGTGTATAAACTTCTGCAGTGTACTTTATAGCTAAGTACTACTTGTGTATGGTTAGCCATGAAGCCTAGAGTGCACATTATTATGATCACATTGTGCATTACACATTTGAGATGCACAAGTATTCCACTCTCCTATCTCTCATTGTACTCCTTTCACCCTTTGTTCCATAAGCAGAGATCAACTCAATTTAAAAAAATGTTTTTAAGATATCTTGCTTTAAGATCAGATTTATTGCAGTGAAACGCAGCTAAAGTTTTCTCTGACATTTCCTCTCTAGTCAGAGTTCAGATGCATATCAGCTCCCCTGTGCAGCTGTGCATGTAAATGAAGGTGAACTGTTCATAGACCCCTCTGTTTTTGCTGCCCTCCTTTCCTTTCCCCGTTATCTTAGGAGGAGCTTCGTCACTTTGAGACCAAGGTGGAGAAGCACAGCCATTACCAGGAGCAGCTGGAGCTTTCTCACCAAAAGCTGCGACACGTGGAAGCTTCAGGAGATAAGGAGCACATCAAGAGGAACCAGGAAAAGTACAACACACTCGCTGAGAAGACCAGGGAGATGGGCTACAAGGTAAGGAGGGGTAAAAAAGGTAGTCTGTTAGCTCTTGCTCTACATTGTGCCATCAAACAATGCAAAGCTACTGTCCAATGGCTGACTGTGCACCTGCAGTAGAAACTAATGATGTTGCAAAATGGGCGAGGAATAGAACATTGCTATATCGCTGAGAAAATGCAGTTACACAGAAATAGAGGACAAAGGTTAACGACACCTGTCTTCCTATCGTAGAAGAGTAGAGTCTCTTATTTCAGGAGTTGCAACACAACAGTTTTTGGTAATAAACACGAGAGCTGTTGGAAACTGCTCAAGCGCTCCAGAAAGATTGGTTCTGATCAAACCTATACAAGGAAAATATATGGTTATCCTGTTAGAAATACTCTACGTTGACATTTCCACATATCATTGTGGTCATCATAAGAAAGACATGCATGATATCAAACGTGCATGTTAATCAGAGATCAGTTCTTAAGCATAATTTGTAATGGGAATGTCCATAATTAGTTTTTGATGCTTGAATTTCAAACATGTTCAACAAAGACAGTGGTACAGCTGCTAATGTATTATTTGGTATACCAGCTAATGTTTCAACTGTTTCAAAGTACATTCTGACTGATAAATGTTTATTACATTTTGGGATGGGGCTCAAGGTTTAGGTTAAAATATAGCATCCTTAAGTATCACTCGGTATTCACACATTATGTCTTTGAATTTGTCTTGCTGTTAACTGGTCACATGCATGTCTTTTATCATCTGATTTCAGATGAAGAAACATTTGCAGGACTTGTCCAACAAGATCTCTCGTCAGGGACTCGAGCACAATGAGCTCTGAGAGGCTCGGATCAGGATGTCAGTGAAGGTTGAATGAACTGAAATAATCTCTCCTACAACCTCGTGGATCGTATGCTACTTTTCCACATTCCCCTTCAACTACTGTTAAAAAAAAAAAAAAAAAAAAAAAGGAAATCAGTGTTTTCTACTTTTCTAGTGTTATTAGTTGTTGATTTGTTTAGAAATTGCTGAATGAATGAATTGCTTGTACATAATATACATATGAGAGATTTTTTTTCTGAACCAGCTGCACTTAATGTTATGACTAACTGTTCAAGTGGAATGAAAATGAATAATTGAATAGTTTACATACAGTCTGGTACTCTCTAGCAGCATTTATTTGTACGACTAATGGCAGGTAGGTGTAGAAAAAATGTCTGGCTGAAAATGTGTCAGCACTCCCAAGAAAGCCAGGTTTTGTGGGGCGGTATGTGAAAGATGGACAGCTGCAGTTCTTCTTAACTAGATTGATGTAGTTCAGCTGCTGAGGAATGGTTCGGGTCCTGGGAACAGCCACAGACTGTACTTTATCCTGTAGGAATATTGGCACAATGGTGGCAAGACAATTTATCCACACCTGTCTGTAATTAGCTGTGCAAATAATGCATGCTACATCAGATAAGCTGTTACTAATGCAGTAACTGCTGAAATATTGTAATGTTACTGCGGTTGTCTAATTCATATAAAAAGAAGACTTGCAGATTTAGGTAAGAAGCACTGAAACATGAAAATGTAACAGCAATCTTTAATATTCAATGTTGCCAACAACATACAAACAGTAATATTTTAAAAATATAGTTTAATATCATTCATATTGTCTTGGCATAAATAAAAGCAGTTACTATTTACAAGCCCTGTAGAGGAAAGCAGTCCCTGTAGTGACATTAACAGGCTATTCTAGGTAAAAGGTCAGGTCTTTCTAACACACCGGTGGGGAACCGCCACCATAAAAATAAATTGGCATCAAATACTGGACAATTTGTCCTTATGATATCAAGAGGGAGGCGAGAAATTGGAACAGTTTCCATTCATCAATTCTTGCCATTTCACAGAGCAGAAGCAGAGACATTGATTACTGTGATGAATAATGTCACTGGCTGGCTGACTACTCAGTCCTGTCCTGCATGGGTCACATGGGCCTGGATTAATGTAATTTGCACCCAAGGTATAACTCTAAGCTGTTTATTTCAATCAAATGCTTTTAAGCTCTGATGCGGAATGATAGCCAAGCAAGCTGGGACTCTTTAACTGTTGACTGTAAGGGGTCAGTCCGATGAGGGGGGCGTGATCTCATTGTGTTATCATATTCTGCTTCAACCCTGTGATACATTATTTAAATTTAAATAAGTTTGTGACCTCTTGGTTAGAGAGGTAACAACAAATGGAGTCACGCCCAAACAGTACGAAATCTATAACTATCTATCTATAAATCCCATTTATAATATAATTTGTTTTGTTGCCATTCCCTCATAATTAAGGTAATTTATACCAATGCAATAATCATCCTGAAATAATCTAAAAAGAGGCAGACCTCAGCAGACATAAGTGCCATGCAGCCGAAAAAAGTAACATTTGCAGGGTGAAAATCGTCAAGAGAAATGCAGGACCGCGCTGATTTAAGTACAAGTATGAGAAATTACAACACTAACCGAACACAAAATGCATCCAAGATGGCAGCTGCATAAGAGACTTCCCAGACATTTCCTGTTTTCTTCTTATTCTTAGTGGAATGGATTGTTGGTGGGAATTTCTGTACACTGGCACAATTGTGGGTGTGTTTAAGTACAACAGTGATTGGTATGATGATCAGCTGCAGTTGAGCGTTTTAGCTTATTCAGAGAGAAACAGCAATACAACAGAAAAAAACTTTTAAGTGTCATCGATTTGGGCGTTGCAGAGTCAGTTTGGTGGCCCTCGCCGCCTGCTCTCCAGCTGAGTCAGTCTGTCCTCCCTGCCCTGAACATGCTCCGCCCCCACTCTCTGTGCTGTTTCCATGGCAGTGATGTCGAGGTGGGCGTACCTGATGGAGCCCTCTTCTGGTCGGGAAATCAGTGGTTAAAGGGGAGAAAAGAGAAAACATTTAGTGTTTCTACTTTGTGGCATGTGTTCTTTTAATTCTTAAAATTGTCACATGCAGGAAAAATGTGCAGTGACCTGTCAATCCCTGACATGCATTGTTCAGTTACTTGGACCCTGTATTAACCTGAACCATACACTGTACAAACATTTTCTTAGTGCTGGAATGTAACTGTATACCGCTGATTTCATCTGATTGTAAAAATGCATAAATTACCTTAAGATGTTCTCTTTAATATGCCACCCGAGAATTTTCATACATGTAGTTTGTTGGAAATTGCTTTATGTCACGGTTGCTCTATTTTCACAGTCCATAAATGTCTGATTTTACCACATAGATTAGGCTCTGAACTAGCACTAAAAATCTAATTCATGTGTCTTGTTTTACATGAATAAATTGTTTCTCCCCATTCTTTCACTCTTGTGATCTGATTTCCATATACTTTAAAATATAGCCAATACATTCAGAGAAGTAAAGGTAAGCAGGTCAATAAGCTCTCAACCAAACAAATGTATTAAAAAAGCTTTAAAATTGTATCAAACTGTACACATACTAGTAGAATAGTTAACAAATCAACCAGCACATGCGTAAGAAAGACAGGTGACATTTTGGCCAAATTTAACAGTGTTGACAAAGCATCAGAACACTATTTTCATATTACAGTTCTGTTTTCCTAAGCCCTGCTTTTGTTTACGACCCTTAATTAATCTATAAACAGTGTGCCATAAACTATAATGCTCTGTTTGCTAATTTCTAATGATGCTGCATTAGGCTTATGGGTACCATTCCCACAGAAGCCAGATAGAAAAGAAAGCAGCAGCAGGAAAAGATATTTAGAGATCTGAAATGTCCATTTAAGGTGTTCTTACTGGGTCTGCAGAGCTGCGAAGTGTTACCTCTGACAGCACTGTATGGATTGGAGACTAAAGCTGAGCCGGGCTCCTGCAGGTCCAGCTCTGTGTAGAGGAGCTCTCTGGTAGTTTTGGCTGGCAGGGGGCTAATTGGGATGTTAACATAAGTAACACTGCTGTCACTATAGAGCCCAGTGTCCGGGGACACAAACGGAGAAGCTTCATGGGTAGGTAGGAACATACCTGAAGGAAAAATCCAAAAGGAGATCTGTTAAACTGGTTTCCCACCCAATGAAGTGAGTTACATATGGAAAACATCAGACATGACAATTCACTCATCATAAATTTGTTAATTTTCTTACCACAGTCTGATGTTGGCCTATGCATGCTCAATGCTGCAGGCAGAGGTGGAGGGGCAGAGGGTGGGAGAGAGGGCACCGACCTCTTCAGACCTGCCACAGTGTCACCAACATCCCCAATGTCATCATGTTCCTCCCTCACACAAAGAGGAAGATCTGGGAGCACATTTTTAGCACATTCTTGTTTTATACTGATACCGTCTCACTTTAGCTCACATGACTACAGTGACACAGTTAGACCGGCGGTGGAAGTATTCCGATCATTTACTTTAAGTAAAAGTAACAATACAACAATGTGAAAATACTCCCATTACAGGGGAGTTCTTTATTTACAATCTTAGGTAAAGTATGTATTAGCTTAAGTATCAAAAGTAAAAGCACTTGTGCAGAAAAATGGTCCCTGTCAGCAGTGTATATAATAATATATTTATTACTGATGCATAAACATGTTAGCAGCATTTTGATGTTGTCAAGGTGGAGCTTATTTTAACAACTTCTTTTATGCTGTTGGGTAGTTTAAATTACCATATACATGTAGTACCTATGAAATGTAGTGTAGTAGAAGTATAAACTAACATAAAATGGAAATACTCAAAGTACAAACACCTCAAAATCATATTGCTACTTAAGTACAGTAGAAGAGTAACTGCACTAAGTTACTTTCCACCACTGATCCAAACACACTAATTGCATTCACAAACACACCTTGTGCGTCTGCAGCAGATGGCGGGCCTGATGGCAAAACCTAGAAAATAAATGACAAAAACATTATTTCAAAGATTTAATCTTTTAGGCATTGTCTAAACTGTATAGAGCCTATTTACAGTGTATCTGTTTTAAGACATAAGCTTGTTTGATGCATCTGTCATTGATTTAAGGCGGTAATCACAGGATAACGGCACGAGTCAGCATCTAACTTAATACTGATCATTCCAGACCAATTAGACCGCTTGGATTGTATCAGACCGCTGATTGTGTTGAAATGAGCAAGGGTGTATTTTATTGCTTATGAATTGAACAATTCATTTGGAAGAGGAAAGGGTGTTCTTTCAAATGTTAAGTTGCTTGCTTTAAGCATACAAAAGCTTTTATGGCTCTATAAGAGTCGGATATAAAAAAGGCAGATAAAGTCTTACCTGAGCAAAGCTTCTGTTCCTCGTCCACCACCACTGCTCTGGACGAATGTAGTTGTCCAAACCATGATTGCACTGAGTTGGGAGACATAAGAGGTTATCACCGAGGCAGGGTTAATTGTTTTTCACTGCAACATCCAACAATGCTACTTGCTTCATTTTCAAACCAGTGACAAATGAGTTATGGTAAGGAGAGATTATTGTAAGCAGCTGTGGGGAGAGAGGCTTCGAAAAGGACTGATTTGGAGAAAGAAGAAGGAAAGGGGGCATGAGGTGAAGAAAAAACGGTGATACAGAGCTGACATCTTTGGAGGTGGCAGACAAGAGACAAAAGGCTGACTGCCTCAGACATGAGAAATCTCTGACAGTGTGTCCCAATTTACCATTTTCACAGCAGACTCCAGCTTCAGGAATATTATCTGTCATAACGGTTTTGTTTCCAGGGGCGTAATACAACTTGTGGAATCAGACATCGTCTCATTACCCGGCATGAAGGATGTGCACTTTTTTGCAACATTGAACCTCTGACGCTTCAGAGTCAAGGAATGATGAATAAAGAAAACTCATTTGCGTTTCATACCACAGGATTCTCCTCTCCGCGGGTTTCTGTTGGTTTCATCACTACTCGTTAACTTTCTCAGCCCCCTTGTGGTCTCTCTCTCCCTCTCTCTCTCCGGCATACACATGATGTATAATGAACACACATACTCCTACACAAGCTGTCAGCAATCACAAGACATGCTGCCTCCTCTCCTGCTCTGATGATAATTTTCCTGCTACAAGGGGGGAAGTGCCTTTCACAAGCCTTCAGAAAATTAATTAGACACTGTGGAGAAGTCCCTTCTGAGGGCTTTTGCGGTTTCAGACAAAAGTATCAAAGAAAAAACAACACCGGCTTTAGCCACACCTAATTTACTAACCCACTTTATTGTTTTCCCATATTCAGCAGCTGGCACTGTCGCCTCACAGTGAGAAGGACATGGCTTTGGCTCTCTGTCCCTTTTGTCTGGTGTTAGAATCTTCTCACTCATGGTTCCATGCCCTGTGGTTTTCAGACCGAAGACATGCAAAGTCACTTGGACTGGAGACCAAACTGCCCACATGGAAAACTCTGAGGAGGCATGCTGTGATGGCAGGATGGGAGTAACCACAAAACACTCTCTTAAAACGAAAGCTGTCAGTGATCCTTAGTTTGAATCACAGAATAGCAAGTGTATTATAAGGAAATTATAATGTTCAGGTATCTGTTTTCCTGCTTTTCTGCTCCCGTGGCAAGCACTGTGCTTTCAACTTCTCCACAAGCCTTTAAGTCATTGACTACTGTAAATCACAAAGGCAGCCACCCAAGTGAGTCATTAAGTTCAAGAGCAAGTAACAGTGTGTATGTCAAGAGGCCAGATAATTGCTGCTTGAACTACTGGTGCATTAGTTGCAAACACTGCAAAGTTACATAACAAGGCAATGGCAAAAAGGCCAAACAAAGGAAGACTGCATTAGAAAAAGAAGAGCCTTACCTAGACTGACTAAAAGACACTTAATGGCCAGTTTGCTAATCAACTCCAACCTATGGCCTTAAAAATTATCATGTAGTTGAATCAACATCACCATTTCAAGCCTCAACAAATTGGTTTTTTAAGTGCTATTGTATAGTGAAGTGTTTTTCAGTTTTTTAGTTACTGCAAGATTGCCAAGAACTTTATTGAAGACACATGTAAGGCTGTGTAAAGTTAAGTCTAAATGTAGTATTTGATATAGACATTATGCTACTGATGGAGTTAACTGATGTGTTTGGAGGTTGTAGTACTAGATCCTGTACTTTATTCCTGTTGTTTCCTTTGCTTTTATTACTTATCATAGGTAAATTCGGTTATTTTAAATTCCAGATTGCTTTCTGTGTTGGTATATGTTCAGTGTTGAGGCTACCATGTCAACTTTTTGAGTACTTTTAGACGAACAAATAGATGTTGCACACGGTAACTGCTGTTCTTGTTTTTGTTCATGTCTCATGTATGTTTCTTGTGTTTCTATTTTTTAACCCTATTACAAATCAGATTTCCCTTGGTGGGACAATAAAGAATGAATTGAATTTAGCCATGATAGCGGCGTAGCTCTAGAGATGGCAGTTGTTGGTTGGTTGGTCCACCACCTAGCTCCATCCTGAAATAGGCCTATCTCAACAACTACTGGAAGGATTACCATGAAATTTGGTACAAATATCCATGGTGCCTGGAGGATGAATCCCACTGAGTATGGTGATCCCTTAACTTTTCATCTCGTGCCATGATCAGATAAAATAAACAGTACTTTGCCCAGGAGAACTAATGACATTCCCATCAGCCTCAGCTGTACGTTGTGTCTGGTGCTAATCATAGACTGCTAAACTAAGAGGATGGTACATGTAAACATTATACCATCTAAACATGATCATGTTGGCATTGTCATTGTGAGCATGATGCTGCTGTTAGCATTTAGCTCAAGTAGCCTACGTAAAGCCTCTCAGAGCCGCTGGCATATGCAGAGCTTCCTATGTATTTAGAGCTTGGGAGGTACAACTGTGAACTGCGTGTAAATGAAAACTATATGACAGGGACATGTTTGCTCTGTTTGATGTCATTTTGAAGCTTGACTTCATTATGTAATACCTAAGACAGGACCTTAAGGTGTTGGCTTCTTTTCTCCATTTTGAAAGTAAAATTGTTCCCAAGATCAAACAAATCTAGCATACTAGAGAGAACAGAACCTAAATTTATTACTGTAGAATATGAGCTAAGTCTTGAACTTTGTTGCTTGGTGCAGTGTCTCTTTGAAGTGCCTCGACCCCAATATACGTAAACATCTGTGACAGCAGGTGTCGAATTGGTAACTTCAGTGATATCACTTGTACTTATCCTGCCTCTTTGCTTATCCCTTAACATCCAAACCAAAATTGCACAGAGGAGCTCATCCCAGCCTATTAGCACAAGGGACAGTTACATAAGACCCCATTTATGAGCACAAGAATAATAAAAATACCACGGTGGGCTTAATAAATGCAAGCAGGAATTTTAAGGAGACATTAAAGAGAGATTAGAATCTGTTGAAGCAAACCCAAGAGCTGGAGAATATCATTAGCATGATGATTTGCAAACATTTAGTTTAATTTCATAAAGACTCCATTCTTGATGCAAATGTTAGCAGGCAAACAAAACTCCCAAAGAGTTCGCACTTGAAGTCAGGATTTCTCTATAGAGCTGAGCTTCAATTACATGATGATGAAAATCTGTTTATTCTTGGATTGTACTTAATTATAATGTGATTAACCAAATCTCCTCAGGGTGATTACGTTCTCTGGTCCCGCTTATACAGCATGTGTGAAATATCTATAATTTCTCATTTCTGAACAGGCATTTTAATTTCAAAGGTGACTCAAAAGTAATCCATTTTCTGATGACACTCCCTCAGATATGCTATATTCTACTTAGTTGGTTGATTGGTTGACTGGTTTATTGATTTATTGAAAGAGTGTGAGACTGCCAGTACCTGCGTCCCTCCACTGAGCAATTCTCCAGGCACCAGCAGGGCTGTGGGTGTGGAAGTCCCCTCCCTGTCCACAGAGGGCGCTTTCTCACTGCCCCAGGAGTGCGAGCGCTGCATCATGGCCCGACATTGAGCCCTGGGTCCCGTGGGGCTGTTGCTGAACCTTTGTCTCTGACTATCCCCTCCATCTATTCCACTACTCCTGCTGTCCCTGCCCAGCTCAGGTGGGCCTTCTCGGGCAGAGGGCTCCCTCAGGGACAGGGTCTGGAGCAGACTCCTGGGGGTGTCATACCGCAGTCTGAGCAGACTGGGGATATGATACTCCTCACTGTGCCTCCAAGATGCACAAGAGCTAGACCTGCAGGCACAAGGGGAGGAGGAGGTAGTAGAACTGTGCTCTGGGATTACTGTGGACTGAAAGGCAGAAGGAGGAGTGGAGGGAGGAAGAGAAGGCATTGAAGAAGGAGCAGGAGGAGCAGGTAGGCTGGCCAAGGAACCAAACTCCTCCCCCCCTCCCTGGCTGGTTGTGTCCAGACTCCCCGTATATGAGGAGAAGCTCCCTGAGTAAGATGACTGACTGCCTGTCGCTATCCCAATCCCACTGTCTAATGAGCTCTGCCGCCCGCTGTCATGGAGACCACGAGGATGGAGCTGGGCGGAGGATGGACTTGTCCCGGAGCTTCCCATCACAGCAGCATAAAGCCGGTCATCTGAACTGGTCAAAGACTTCAGAGTAGAGGGGTTTGACACTGTCTCGTTGGAGAGGTGGGGTCTAGCTATCGGCTCCACCCAAAATGGAAGTCTGCTTCCATAGCTCGCATCTGATTGGCTGGAGGAGGAACTGGAGATGCTGCTTTGGTCGTCCCCAGCAACACATGTGCTGCAGCTGTAGGTGGAAGCTGAAGATTTTAAAGTCATTAGATCCTCATGAAGTGATTTATTAACCAATCTGTGAAGTGATTTATTAACCAATCTGTGCACACACACACACACACACACACAAACATTCACTCATACGCACACAATTAATATATAAATCATGTCTTTACTTATGCTCTGGAGAAAGGATATTATGGCCCTGTGAAATCTGTTTTCATTTAAGTGTTGTTATTTGAAACAGTTCAAGTCTTTTGCAGGTGTTTCTATGCAGAAATCATTAAGTTTCTTTTCCAAACTTTGAGATTTAGAGGTAGTCAGCAAAAATGAATCATGGGACCTCTGACTACATTGAGCTTCACATTTCTGACTAACGCACACACGTAATTATGACAAAACATTCCCAAGATGGCCTCATAAATATAGACCGGTGATTAAGCCTGTGTGGACAGAAGGCCAGCCAGCCCGAGCTACAAGGTGCAATGGCGAGTAAGAGATTCATGACATCATGATAAACTACATAAAGATGGGAAGGTCTAAATATGATGCATACTGTCCCTCTGATATATTACACAGGGTTCAGGAGTTACATATTGGGTATACTGTACAACCTAAGGTCTTTTTAATAGAACAGCGTACCTGTGCTGCTCGCTAGGCTGCAGTGAGACAACATGCTGAGTCTTTTCTCCAGCTCGGATGCCTCCTGGTTGATCCGTTCCTCTGCTAACACTGGGTCAGCGTTGGGATCTGCTGTTTATATAGTACATACACACATAAACAAACACAAAAAGAGCACAAAAACACAAGACTTTCAGAGTGTGTAAGCAAAGAATATTAAGGCAAGACGTGGGTTTATGCACACAGCTGATGACATTAAAACACATTTTCAATGTCAATCATCTTATCTGAATCCGTAAGTAAAAGTTTTTTTTAAAACTCTATTCTCGACTTTCCATTGTATTAAAATGTCCATTTTGTCCAAACGTCCACTTTTTGTCACATTTCAAAATAAAAGTTTCAAAGTAAAGCTGAGAACTCAAATCCTTACTGCAATTTGAGGGTCTCTCTTCCTCCGTGTGCTGTGACTGCTTTTCATCTCACCATGTCACAATAACATCATGATGCTTACCACTGCCTTGAGTTTAACAAATCTTACAATATTTTTATTTATATATTAACAGTAAATAAGAATAAAATGGTATATGCAGAAAACAGAGCAATCTAATGCGTCCTTGTGTTGTATAACACAATGAAATAACTTCTTTCTGCAGCAAACACTACAGATAAGACAATGTTTACCCTAGAGGCTATGCAATGCAGCTGTGAGCTGAGAGGTTTGTAAATTATTGAAGTTAAAGCAGAACTTCTCTTAACCAAACTTATGATATACACACTGAGATATAAACTCAACTAAATATCTATCATAAAAAATGCATTACAACTTACAGCATAACAATACTCTTTGTACATGCTCTAAGTAACAACACTGTCACTTTGGCTGTAACCCAACTAGTCTTTGGAGCGAATGAACCACTGGAATTCCAGTGGTATGTATGAAGATAAAAAGCTGGATAGATTTTTATTTCAAGGACATGGTCGGTCCACTACATTTAAAAAGAATGCATGAGGTATGAAAACATATTTCCATGTGCTAGAATGTCTTTCGGAAATGTACATCTCAAAAAACCTGTGCTACTGTATGCATCAGCCTCCTATTTAAGACAGTGTGAGTGAGTGTGTCTCCAACTGTTACACCCACTTGTAAATTTAACATCTCCCAGAGGAGGTTATAGGCGCCTTGACTATCTGGTGGAACATCAATTTAGTGTAAAACCCTGCCAATTATACACTTAAAGCTTGCTATGTATAGATAGTGTGTGTGTGTGTGTGTGTGTGTGTGTGTGTGTGTGTGTGTGTGTGTGTGTGTGTGTGTGTTTGTCAGTGTGCACATGCTGCAGTGGGTCAGGGTGTTTGTGTGTATCAGTGTCAACAACCTAACCCCTGGTTCTCTGCCTCTGGACTGCAGCAGCTAACTCTGATGTGCAGATGCCAAGTTTCTCCACTACGCTATGTGAAGTGTTGGCTAACATATGCCAACGTTGCTAGTTTACGCTATTTATAGCTGCTTCACAGCACCAAGTGTCGTAGGGTTACAGTGGGCCTTAGAGCAGACTAACACAGGGTGGCTGAGTAAATGTTGAAGGGAGGGTGAAGTTTAACTTTTTTTCCCCATCTTCCAAAAACTGGATTGATTCTGACCCAACGCTTTCTGACCCAGCAGAATACTTCTGTCAATGTAACATTATCATATGTTAATTTTAACTACTTCATATCCTGTTGGGCAGTGTAATCAGTGTATCATATATATATATATATATATATATATATATATATAACAAATTAAAGTAAAAACCAACATTGTTGTAGTACGGTGTTGGGCCACCACGTGCTGCCTTGGCATTGACTCTCTAAAACTCTGCTGGAGGGATTTAAAACCATTTTTTCAAAAGATCTTCCCTCATGTGTTTTGATGATGGTGGTGGTGGAGATCAAATGGGTTCACTGTAGGGGTAAAGCATTCAGGCCTGTACCATTCTCTTGATGTTCGCCACACATGCACTCGCCCACTCGTGGAGAATATGGTGAAGGATGACTCATCTGACTATAACAATTTTTTCCACATCTCTGTAGTCCAGTGCATTTGGTTTCTGGACCATTGAACTCTTAAATGTGCATTCATCTTTGTAATGAGGGCTTTCTGCACTGCAACCGTGCTATAATATCCCTCTCAATTCTTCTGCTCTCACTGTTCTTGCTGACAGTCTGATCACGTCCTGCATTAAGTTGCTCTTCTGTTTTCCCCAACATATTGCACTAATGCACGAGCATTGCGGTCATAAAATGTGCACTGTGGACCTTAATTTCGTTCGTCGTTCCCATAGATCTAAATGAATATGTCACTTTAGTCACTGTTCCTTTTGAAACACTATCCAGTTGAGCAGTCTGTAATTGAAGCTCCTGCCATCCGTACCCCAACAATGAACCCTCTTTCAAAGTTGATAGAAAATCAGAATCAGCTGGGCCTGCTCAGTGCTCAGTGTAATTGCTTAGGTAGGTAGGTAGAGAAGTGGGTGGGTTTAGGCAGGTAGAAGTAGGTGGGTTTAGGCAGGTAGGTAGGGAAGTAGGTGGGTTTAGGTAGGTAGGTAGAGAAGTAGGTGGGTTTAGGTAGGTAGGTAGAGAAGTAGGTGGGTTTAGGCAGGTAGGTAGAGAAGTAGGTGGGTTTAGGTAGGTAGTTGGGAAGTGGGTGGGTTTAGGTAGGTAGGTAGAGAAGTAGGTGGGTTTAGGTAGGTAGTTGGGAAGTAGGTGGGTTTAGGTAGGTAGGTAGAGAAGTAGGTGGGTTTAGGTAGGTAGTTGGGAAGTGGGTGGGTTTAGGCAGGTAGGTAGAGAAGTAGGTGGGTTTAGGCAGGTAGGTAGAGAAGTAGGTGGGTTTAGGCAGGTAGGTAGAGAAGTAGGTGGGTTTAGGTAGGTAGGTAGAGAAGTAGGTGGGTTTAAGCAGGTAGGTAGAGAAGTAGGTGGGTTTAGGTAGGTAGTTGGGAAGTAGGCGGGTTTAGGTAGGTAGGTAGAGAAGTAGGTGGGTTTAGGCAGGTAGGTAGAGAAGTAGGTGGGTTTAGGCAGGTAGGTAGAGAAGTAGGTGGGTTTAGGCAGGTAGGTAGAGAAGTAGGTGGGTTTAGGCAGGTAGGTAGAGAAGTAGGTGGGTTTAGGCAGGTAGGTAGGGAAGTAGGTGGGTTTAGGTAGGTAGGTAGAGAAGTAGGTGGGTTTAGGCAGGTAGGTAGAGAAGTAGGTGGGTTTAGGTAGGTAGGTAGAGAAGTAGGTGGGTTTAAGCAGGTAGGTAGAGAAGTAGGTGGGTTTAGGTAGGTAGTTGGGAAGTAGGCGGGTTTAGGTAGGTAGGTAGAGGTTGTGTTCGCACAAGGACACAGATGCATGTCCACATGCACATTCCTGTCAGTGATTTCGCATTATTCGACTGATCTACAGGTGGCAGTGATGCACCACCGAAAGGTGGGGAGGAAGAAGAGTGCTTTCATGTAAACATGGATGTGAACAATGCATGTTTCAAAATGTTATAATTTTCAAAATTTGTAAACAAACTTTATCTCTCATTTCTTGTTCCTCCATATGGCCTTGAAATACAAAGTAAGTCCTTGTCTTAACCACAAGCTCACAAGTTCCATTTGAATGCTCCAACTATTATACTTTCAAATGATAACTAACTACCAAAAAAGTGTTAAGCACAGTTTGATATTGATATTGCCTGTAGCTAACAGCTGAAAACAATTTCCAAAGTTTAACAATAACAGATCCTGAGACGTGAGGTATGCTTGTTACAGAGTTGCCAGATCCTTGGTATGCGCCCTGTACAACCTTTGTCTTTCAAACTGTCACTACACCTTCTGTCTCCATATTTCCGGTCTCAGAAATGCCTGTGAAATCAGCAGTATGTTACAATAGCACACAAGTCACACACAAAGGCACGACCCCATAATCCACACGTTGACCCTTTGGGCTTCAAGCATGTGATGTTAGTATGGCGCCTGACACAAATGCTTAACATGATCATTAAACAGACAGTAAACCTTTATATTGGAGGTCAAAGTCACATAATACTGTGATTGTTTAAGTTCAGAAAAGTGGGTCTCTTTTGCAGATATTACTACTACAAATATTGTATGTATGTATTCTTTCAAAACAGCTTGTGTGTGTGTGTGTGTGTGTGTGTGTGTGTTCACCTGGAAGGGCAGGTCGCAGGCCATGAGGCGCCCTGCTGGGGGTGATGCCCCTGACAAAGCAGTCAAACAGGAAACTGATCTGCTCTCCTTCTGAACAGGACAAGAAGAAAACACCAGCCCCTGGAATATGGATGTGGAGAGAGACAGACAGCCCTATCAATGAAAGGAAGACATTAGTATGTGTTGGATTACAAAAAAAGTTGGAGTTGAGAATTTTTTTTTTTTTTTTACAAAAATCACTAAATTAAACAGTATGAAGCTGTAGCAACAGTATGGCATTCGGCAGAGGTTAGAATGCTGTAGTAAATGGTGAAATATAGAGTAAAATCACATTTTTGAGCAAAGCCAAAAAATATTCAGTGAGGTTCAGAAGGCTGTTGTAAAGGCAAGACTGTTCCTTGAACCAGCAACAACCCTTTCTTCTAAAGGTTACATAAAACATCTCTCTATTCAGCCCCCACTCTCCTATGAAGCCCACACAGAGGTAGGTGCCTGCAAAAACACATGACAAGCAAAAAAGAAAATCATGAAAACCCTCATGTCACCACGATATTGAAAAGACAGCCACAAAGTAAGCCCTTACTCAGGGGTTCGGTCAGGGGAAAAAAATCTTATGTTGTCAACTCACGTTCTTATGGAACTGAGTTTGCTGCAAATAAAAGAGAACAACACCTGAGAAAGTGGAGCAGTTGAAATCTTTTGGAAAGATAACATCTGAGTCAGTCTTTCTTGAGCAACACCAGCCAGCAGAGTTGGTTTGACTTAATTTCAAACAGCTGCTGTTTTTTTAAAGAACTGAAAATTATGTTTGCATTCATGAGACAGTTTTAAAGATACATTTGAAAAACTAAACAAAACGTAATATTTCTCTACTATCTAATCTATCAAACTAAAAGGTTACATTTTACTTAATAAAACGTACTTACTTGACATTTTACTCTCTTTACTTTTATCAAGTATGTATTCAATGCTATTACAATATGCTTTCAGAGCACCATTTAGTTCCTCATGATGAGTAATTGAATAGAGTTTCTGGCTTGAATCATCAATATGTGTTAAATGTAATGGAAACCTATTAGCTTCATTAGGCAGTATGTATTATAGCATATTTTCTTCAGTCAGTGGAAATGCCTGGCCCGCTTATCAACTCACAATGGGGAGGAGATGAAGAATGAAACTACAATCACGGATAATATTAGTGTAAGGCGATTTGACTAAGATGATTCTTGTGTGAAACTCTGCAAAACACTGAAAAAGAAATAAAGGCAAAAGATGTTCTGCTTTTGAGGGACTTTTCAGATGTCATGAACAGAGTCACAGTGGGCCTCAAAGGCTTTGATTTCTTTGCACGATATGATCCTTACATTTTTATTTATAGAACCATTAGCAGACTTAGAGGCCTTTCTAATATTTGTACCTTAGATAGTGAATGTGTGTGGGCTTTTCTTGTATTGGCATCTTTATTTCCTTTTCTGTATTGCTCATTAAGTCACTTGCATCATCTGCCATGTAGTGAAGGTGTTAATTAACAGGACTTTGCTCACAAGGTGCTGTGCGAAGTGATAACATGACTCCACTGAGATTTATCTTTGGAGTATGAACATCCCACCCACTGTAGATGTGAAAGACAGGGCTGTAGCTCTTTCTAGCCTATTTTTTTAATCTGATGTTGAGTAACTTCTTTTTCAGCCCTTTTTGGGGCAATGCCATCTCAACATTATTGGGTTTTTTTGGGATGAAATAAGCTGTTTTCTAGTTTTTCTCTCATTTTCTCTGAAGGCGGTTTTTGGCAGTCATTTTCATATATTTTTTTTATTTGTTATGAACACCAAAGGGCCTTGTTGGACCTGGTCCTCATTTATTTCTCGCAAATATGCTGAGTTCAGCTGCATGGCGGCTCATCTTAAAAGAGACAGATCTTATTTTATTGTTGTAGCGGTAGTGCATTCTATTTAATATGGACGGAAGCAGCTTTTCTGTCAGATTACTGTTGCAAACCAAATGTCTGTCTGGTTAAGACCAATGTTCATCTTATTTGTTCACACAAGCAACTTCTATCCTCTACACTGGTTGACATAAGTTAGCAGGTAACATTTCTCCAAATTATTCTGCAACTTTCTACAGCAGTTATAATGACATGTATACACTGTCGAAGTAGAGTCGAAGGCAGGTGGACAGCAGCTTTGTCATGAAGAAACTTCACCACTCTTCCAGGAGGCTTCAACTCTTCTAATGACAGGTGGAGAGTCAGAGAGATGTTAACCTCTGTGGGTCACTCACACCTTAATGTCACATGACAGTAGAGTAGCTGAAGTTGGCTTTTACTTCTACAAACCTGATCTGGAAAAGTGAGTATATGGACAAACTATAATGATACAGCAAAAATGCTGCTTAATACTTTATAAACACCACACGTGAAAAACACCCTCACACGTGCACTGACATACTACTGTATTACGATATGAGGTGTGTGTGTGTGTGTGTGTGTGTGTGTTTAAGCCTGCTGAGGGACATGGAAAGATTGTTGACAGAGCACGTCAGCTTAAAATTGCTTTTATGTAGATCACAAGGCTTGATGGCCATCCAAACTCTGCGGAGGATAATTTATTACTGTCTGCATGTGAGATCTGAAGCCATCTGTGTGTGTGTGTGTGTGTGTGTGTGTGTGTGTGTGTGTGTGTGTGTGTGTGTGTGTGCGCACGTGTGGTACAGGGTCAACGAGCACGTGCGGACCTGATAAGCCAGGAGAATATATGTTTAGATGCAGGCTCTGCTCAAAACATCATTGATTACAGAACACCGTGGCCTCATTATCACATCCAATGGGAGCTGCAGTACTGACATCACTGTGTACTGATTCACACTGCCACACTGTTTGCATGCGACTGTGTAACCAAAGGTGCACGTCCAACAGACATCCATGAAGACCCCAGCTCAACTGATTACTGTTTAGTAAAAGGCTTTGCACAGACTGCCAATTATCCCACAGGACTGATAGGTTTCCTGTCTGTGTGTGTGCGTCTGTGTGTGTGTGTGTGTGGGGGGGGGGGCAGTAAAAAGGCCTGTCATGTCACTATGTTGTATGTCTTCAACTCAGTAGCCAGAAATCATGTCGTCCGCAGTGCAGCTGACTTTCAAAGTGCAGCTGCAGCAGACAGCACTGTCGCAGTCAAGGGTAAAATGTTTTTATACAGCAGAATGACTGAGAGACCCGCTTACAGATTTGCTGGAGCAAAAAGGCCTCGAGGGAAATTAGGAACTGAGGGGGTAAAGGAGTTATTTTATGTTGGTTCAAAGTACAGTCCTCAAAAGTGCAACCCGATGAAGGACAATTTGTCTCTATATTATTATAATTTTTCTGCAACATTTGCACATCTTTGCACTGAACACGGCCTGATAGTCTGCTGTAATATGCACCGCCATTTTGTGCTTGTCAAGCATACTAAGGCACTGTGTGTTATTCAAGAACTCCTCCTGCCCTCTCAAGCTCCAGGCTTTTCTTTGCAGAGATTTGTCATGTCCAAGCACATATTCCTAAGTATTCTGATGTTTTTGCATATCCAACCCTATACAGCTTCAAGAAAACAACAGCTACTTCATCAAGACGGACAGAAATTCACAATCATTTGTTCAGCTGAACAAAATGACAAATCGAAGGGAAAAACTCAGACAACAATAAATGTTTGATTTAATTAATTTATGCATTTATGCAAAATGCAGCCTTTAAACTTACAAGAAATAATGATTTGACATTTATCGTGATAATTATCGATATCGAATTATTGTGATAACATTTATGGCCATATGCCCCAGCCCTAGTTGAGTTGAGAAATTGCAGGAAGAGACCAGGCTACCATTAGCGCATAATCAACACCGCCGTCAAGATAATTGGTCTCCGCACACCCAACCTAGCAGAACTAAACAATAAGACCATTGCACACATTGCAACCTCAATAGCACAGGACATCACACACCCACTCAATAACCATCTTACCCTGCTGACCTGGATGCAGGTACAGAGCACTGAGGTCCTCAGTACCTGCATCCTGACTCGCTTTGGGAAAAGCCTGATCCCCTCAGCCACAGCTACCTTAAATAAAAGGCCTCACTGAACTGGCCTGGTCTGAGGGTGCACTGTTGTCTGTCATTGTGAGTTGTTACTGTGTGCTGTTGTTGTCTGATGTGTTCAGTGCTGTGAAAACGAATCTCCCCTTGGGGCCAATAAAGTCTAAAGTCTAAACTCTAGCATTACAAACACGGGGTAGCAGTCAGCTACACCAAAACTGTTCATTAGGACATTGAACTATTGCACTGAACTTCAGCCAGTTTCAACACAAGCTGAAACTAGCTGCATCACTGGCCATAACAGACCTTTCTGAGAGCAGACATTTGAACTTATCATAGCAGGAGAAGCACAGGTCAGCCATGTCAATGAGCCAGCACGTACAAGACAAGACCCTCAAAGTGGCACACTTACATTGAATGGAGCAATTATTAAAGTGATCACACCTGTGATTTCTCCTACTATGACATATCAAAATGTTCGTGCTCTGACATGCCAAAATAGCTGCTGTGAAAAAAGGTCTATTTTAGACACATCTGACCAGAAGCAAATCCAGTATGGTGTAAAAACCTGGACTGCTGTGGATTTCATTCTGTAAGTTTTGTAGTTGTTGTTGGCTTCTGTTGCCAACAGCATAACAAAGGGCTGGTGATGTGTGAGACAACACTGTGTGAGTGCTTAAAAGTTTAGATAAACACAAAAGGAAATGAATGTCAAAAAGAAAAAATAAAGCAGTTCATCACTGACAGCTTCAGGGATGGATTGGTGTGTTTGTGTAAGTTTGGAAGTGTACCAGTAAACCGTATCATTTCTTTTGCTTATGGTAAATGAAAATGGTTAATGAAACTGCTAGCTGGAGCAGAGCTAATAATGTTAATTTTTAAGACCTACTCCTCCAAAAAACGTGCCATTGTGGTATATAGAAGTTGGACGTGCTTCATCACAAGTCCAGCACAGACTTTAGCATGCTAATACAGTATATCGCCATGTTGCTAACTTTCTGGGTAATGTACAAATGGCTGAAACGATTCAGAACCTGAAAGACCTGTAAGACTGCAGCAGACAAGTTGGTGTGCAAATGCCCAGAATAAAGTGTTCTTTGGATAAAACCACATAGCACTCCATAAAATGACTGCTAAGCACTGGTATGCCTAACATGTCCTCACCAAATACAAATAAACATGTAAAAATGTAAACTGACCCTCTGCATTACCTTGCACACATGTACGGAATGTCACTTGCAGATTTGACTCTGTCACTCTGTTTCTGCAGCCATGCCAAAAGGGCCTCTCTCCACTGCCCCGGTGGCTGCTGGGTACTATGTAGATGCAGGTGGAGGGGAAAACTATGATTGGTGGTCTAGCCAGCAGGCGCCATGTGATTGGTTGAGTGACCACTACAAGGGAGGCTAGTATTTATAGATGTGGCTCATCAGAAAACTGAAACCAGAGCCTGTGGCCTTCATGGTTATTCCTGTAGGAGCCATGAGACTGTTTGCATACACAAACTTTCTCTTAACACTAACACATCTCTAAAGCAAAACAACTGTAAAGAGTTAGTCCTCACTATACAGGAGAGCTAGCAAATATCATTTTCTTAATGAGTTTAGTTTCCCTAAGATGAACACTTCAAACACTGTCCCATTAAACACTTAGCATGCTATCCAAGTCTCTCTATCTCTCTCACACACACACACACACACACACACTTCCCCACCCAAAAACATAAAACTGCCTCTCATTTTTCACATTCATGCCCACATCAACTGGACATTCAGAGGATACCTAAACCCTGGCAACCACATAAACACACACACACTGCATTATCTGGTGGGCATGAGTACAGTGTGGTGGGTGCATACATAGAAAGTAATTTCTTACGTAGATAAAGTTACTCTATAAACACCTGCAATAAATCTCTGTTTTTATGAGAGTCAGTTGTGTTAAATGACAGATCTATCAACCTGCAAGTGCTGATCTTGAAGATCATATGTGATCAAAAGCTCCAGAGCAGCTAATAAACTGACCTGTTTTCTCAACTTACAGTCACTTTCTCAATATTTGAGGGTATTTTCTAAGGTATAATCTTCGGTGTATATATGAAACAAGCTACTAAATGTCTCAAATTTTCACTAAACTCAATGTTCACTGAGTAGGAAAAAACTTTTCAGAAAGACTGAAACCAGCTTTCATAATGCAACATGTCTTGATGCTTCCACTGATGGACTTCTTCCTGTCTAATTGTCAACCATTGATTTTTTTTTACCATAAACTCCACTGTAGCTCTGGTCATCTAGGTTTTGCTGGTCACCCATATAAGAAATAATAACACACCAGCAGCAATAATACAGAGCCAGGGATGTATGGTACTGTACATTGCCCATAGCTGTTTTTCAGCTATTAGTGTCAAAGTGTTGCCCTTTTTGGCTGTAGGCTGCAGTGTCTACATTCTCACACTTTGTCAGTCCACGAGTTACTCACAGTATCCACAGCGAGTCCCCCCTTCGAACACAAAGCCATTTGTCACCGCACCATATCGACGCAACGCCGACAACTTCCAGTGGCCAAAGACGATAGGGGGGACGCCTCTGGTAAGGACCAGCAGGTTGTTGCACAGGTGGAGGGAGGCGGGGCCACTTTCCAGTTTGGTACCTGGTTCGACATTGACACTGAATCTGTGGACTGTAGGAGATAAAGCGGTTTGAAAACAGTAGAGCATGGATGGTCTTCACATGCTCTGTCATAATGACTTAAAGACAGTTGAAGTATCATTGATCAGAAAGCACACTGACCAAACAACAAATGTGATGGAACATAAAAACAAACCAACAGGGCATATCACACACAAGCACATGAACACACATGCATTGCAACTGATGGCTGTGGTAATAATGATGAAGCCGTTCTTTAAGCTCTGCTTGCTGCAGTTTGTCATCTCTCAGCTTGTGCAGATGGCACTTTTTCAGTGCCAAAGTCAGTCTCTCACAGCCAAACACATACTGTATACTGTCTCATATAGTACATAATAGTAAGTATATACAATACGTGCCCACGCTTTCATAAAAAGTGAAATGAGTTGTACGTAGAGACTTAATAGAGTGAGCTCATTTCGCTCTGTCTGAGCACCTAGAGGTGCACTCTGGCTTGCAGTGAGCTAAACAGTCAAAGATGAAGCTGAGGGCTACTTCATGCATTGTATTGGTTTAATGATCTCAACCAAGTGCTAAATATCAGCAAGCATTTTTCGTTTCGTTAACAGGGATGTCAAGTATTCACAATTTGCAAGAAGGGTAAATTAAGGAGAAACGGTTTTAACATCTGGCCAGACTGAAGCGTATAGCAGCATTGAGGACAAACTGCAGGCAACTTGTAGAGCTGTGACTAACAATGAGAGAAAATACATACATGGATGACTTCTTCTAGGACAGCTCAAGATAGAGGTGGATACATGTAAAAGAGCTACAAAACTTGTGTTTCAATATTTACATACTGACATCCCTTAGCAGTGAGTTTTACATTAGAAGGTAAACTATTTAGTGTGCTGTGGGTTTTCTTTTAACATTCAGGGCTACATGAGCTACTAAATGAATTTCTAGGGGAGATTCAATTATGTGATTCGCATAGTGATGGAGGAACAGAATGCTTGTGGATAATATGATTAAGGATTTAGGGGTGAAGCCCCAAAATATCCTGCAGGTGATATTTTAGAGAGAGGAGGATGAAGAATTCCTTTTCAGGAAAATGTTTAGAAATGTAAGTTCTGATGGTGCTGCACAAAAAATGTCAATTCAAGCCACAGCCTGGTTGTGAAGTGCAGTTAGAAATCAGGCTGGAGTTATTTAAATATAATTAAAATTCATGATGGTTGAGAGAACATTTCTAAATAAGACGAGTTTAAAAAAGAAAGTTCGGACAGCCGTAAAAAGTTATCTGGGGGTCCAAGTTAGAAGTCTCGGGTGAACTACTGAAAACTTATAATTGAAAGTCAGTTTTTTTGTTTTTTTTTTAACAACTGATCAAATGCTGGTGTTTAACACTTCATTGAGCTGTTTGGCTGGAAATGTAAGGTTGTATCTCCTACAGAATTTACAGGGGTAATAGACTTTTCACTGTTCTTGCAAACTTCTTACTGCAGGGGAAGCCTCTAAAGGATAACTAGAGGAAGGTGCAATAATTAAATACTACACTAGAAATGACCACTCAGTTGCAGTATTTTTTTAATAACTATTCTACATTTTAATATTAAGTAACCTCATAACTTGTATAAGGGCAACTCTATCTAGCACAATTCTTCCATATAAAATGGGGTTCAGTTTCCCTTGTGTACACCCCTCTCATTTTTCCCTCAGCTAACTTTGCACTGAAAATAAACGTTGCGAAGTTGAGACAGCAGATTTTGCAGATAGAGAAGAACCAGAGTGATGGAAGACAGATTTTTATCTGTCTGTGTTATTCCACCTGGCTTTGATAACTTCTAGCCAGTGACCTCCCGTGTTTTTGGCACATAATCGGATTTGTCTCCCTGACAACAAATTTAAAAAAAGATTGTAAAACCAACTTTCTGCAGGTTTGACAGAGTTGATTTTACGACATCAATAAAGTTTTTGCAGTAGCTTAGACTTCTGGCTCTCCAAACTCATCTTCTGATTTACACTTTGTTTTAGAACCAATGAAACTTTAAACTTCTTGCCCACTCGCTTCATCCTATTCACACTTGGAGCCTTAATGTAGGAGGGTGATCCTGAAGGGTATCGGGCCCAGTCAGCTCTAATTACAGCTTGTTGCAATTCCTACTGGGTCATGGAGATCATGAAGCACCTGATGTCATTTCAAGGCTTGATTAAGCAATAAGAGGAAATAAGAGCTTGGAACAAATAAGAGGGTTGCTTGTACAGCTGACTCACCAAAAACAACCTACTATTTGATTTGTGTTATCCAACTGCAGCTTAGTGAACCAACTTTCAGCACATTGATCCTTCACACTTCACATCCTTAAACAGAGACTGTGACATCCTCTCAAGGTCAAACCACTGACCTTCTCCCAGGCTGTAGCGGACGCGGGCATCCCAGGCCAGCAAGGCATCTCGGCTGGAGAAGCCCAGGACCAGCGTGTGTGCCAAACAGAGGATGGAGAGGGTGTAGCATACCCCGTCATACCCGGGCCCTGGCTCCACGCCACAGATCCCCTGAAGGAGTGGAGAGAAATGCACTGAGAATATTTTGTATTACCAGTATTCTCTTTTATTCTGTATTCTTTTTAGTACGTGTGGATGCTTTACCAGCTTTCACACAAGTACATCTCAAATATCAGAGAGTCATATTAATGTTACAGTAGATGTTGTGACTATGGTTTCTTTGCCTGCTTCAGTTTAATTAGACTAGATAACATGGTTTCAGGGAATGAGTTCATACAGATACAACAAATGCCCCTGTTTCTCTTAATTTAATGCAGTTTTTCTTTGTGTTTCTGCCTAATGCAGTTTTTTGACCAATGCTCTTACAATTTGGGCAGTCGACCTTAACACACCTTAAGTCCTTATCCATTACATTATTTGTTCAATTCAATTCAATTTTATTTATATAGCACCAAATCACAACAATCTCACAGCGCTTTTCATAAAAGAGCAGGTCTAGACCGTACTCTGTGATGTTCAACCCCCTGTACATGTGACAGCAGTCTCATGCCAGCAACAGTAAAGTTATGAGATACAACAATACTAAAAAGCTGTAATAAGCCTGCCACCTGAGCGGTTCACCTGAGCGGTTCACCTGCAGCGCACATAACATGATCAGCAGGGAGCCTTTGGTCTGCTGAACGTACCTCCAGTGTCACACTGAGTCTCTCCTTGTGGCAGTTGCCCTTCTCCTTCCCTTTCTTCCTCTCCTTAAACACCAGCAGAGACAGGCAGTCTGATGCAGAGACACAGGATAGGAGAGATAGGAGTTTTACAGACTGACAGGTTTAAAAGTCAATTTTAGTGACAATAGTAGATTGTTTTTGGTGCAGAATGCAGAATAACAACAGTGTCATTTTTTTGTAATCTCTGTTGTCTGCCTGTTGTGTGTTTGTGGCCCAGCTGTCACAACAAAATCTAAAACAATGAACTGATCCACTGGCACAGATGATAATGACAGTCAAGACACAAATGCACACATAAACACACAAACACGAACACACACACATGCACACAGAGCAGTGTAGCCTACATTATTCCCGCCACTGTGCCCACTTTCTCCAAGGACACAGCAATGGTGTACAGTTTGAGCAGTGTATGCTGAGAGGGACAGTGCCCTCACACTCATAGCATCTCAAGTGTAATGCAGTTAAGTTTTAAAGACATGTGGCTTTCTTTTTCTGCCCTTTTAGATATGGCAATGTCACAGCTTATGTTTTCAGCTGGAAGGCTTTCAAATAATTAACCTTAAATCCAACTGGCACTAAAATCCCCATCAGATTTAATATCCAGGCTCTTAATGTGAAAGGGACAGGCTGCACTCAGTGTTTTGTCTGCACCGTTTAAAGGTGAATTAGGTCAATTAAATAAATTCAATCGATCAATTCAGCTGGTTTATTGCGGAACACGTGTTGACGCGGATGTGTTGAGTAGTGCGCTCCCGTGGCGCACAGCCAAGCGACCGACTGGCAAGTTGTGATTAGTTTAACTGCAGTAGTACACCAGATGAGATTAGTGCTAAATGATACGGATGAAGGAATAGCATTTTTTTCCCCTGTCGCGGTGAAAATGTGCACTCTTTGAGTGGGAATAATAAGAGATGATAAAAATACAAGCGGTTTGGCACAGACCTGCGACCGGAGAGGGCTTCCGAAGAACGACCCACCGAGTCTTCCACTGTGGAAAAGTTTGTAAAAGATCAATATATGGCAACGTATATTACTATAGTTGTCCCGGAAGTGTGGACAGAAGGTTTAAGGCTTTGAAATAAGAGGAATTCACCTTTTTTCCATCTCGAAACTTGACTTGTCCCTCCGCGACAACTGTATCCGTCATCTTCTGTCATGGTTCCGAACAGCTGTGTGTGTGTGTGTGTGTGTGTGTGTGTGTGTGTGTGTGTGTGTGTGTGTGTGTGTTGCACGCCGCCTCTCCACCAGTTCACAGAGGAGGAGGGGGGTCACTCTTCAAAATAGCCTTTACAGCCCATTCCCCGCTGGCAGACCCGACAATCAGACCACCTAGGCGGTGACACACACCAGCCTTCCCCAGCGGGGTCCTGCCAAGTTAGTACAGTTGTCACCCTGCGTGAAGTGCTTATTGTTTACAATGGAGCTAATTCGATTAAAAGCGCATAACTCGCGCGCCTTTCACTTAACTCATGAGGCTGGCTCTGAGCCGGGTGTTAGACAGGGATTCATGTTACCTAAATGCTGATCAGTGGGGCCTCAGCGCTGTCTGTGGAAAGCTGGTTTAATCTGTAAAAGCCTGCTCGAGAATAATGCCAATTCAGAGATGTGAAAGGAGCAAATTACCTTCAAATCCGCAACAACAGCCTACATAAATGATTAAGATTATAGTCAAGAAATGCTTTTTATATGAACATGATACATCCATATGTGCACTAAATGTGCAAATCCTGAGAGCAAAGGTTTGGCTTTATTATTGTCTCACAGCCACAAGGCCCAGTATAATATAAATCCATGCGTTGCTTTTGATCAAGGCACTTGACTTGGAACTGGATGTTTTGGGGGTGGTATTACTTCCAGGGTCTCTTTAAGTTCAGGGGCATTTATTCCTGGAATGACATGCGAATGTAATGCTATTAGTTTGTGACATGACATGCCAGGACAGAGAAGAACAAACCACATTGAGGGTTAGGGTTAGGGTTGCTTCACTATGTCTTAAACAAGGCAGACAGCTGACAATTTCTTATTGTTCCCTTTTCAAAATGTTAATTGTAATCCCCCCCCCCCCCCCCCCTTTTTTTAAAGGGGGCACTGCACTGATTTTACACATGAGGATGAGTTTATTCACTATTGTTAGTAGGCTACTAGCCTACTCAGTTTGTGGAAGCAGTTGCATCATGTGTTGTGTGGGTCTGGAGGAGAAAATTTAGGGCTGTCTTGGTTTGTGCTTGAAAACAGAAAGTCAAAATGCAGTTGGAAAGATGCAGGTGTTCATCGGGCACGGAGGGTCTAACGAAAGATCCTGTGGAGTTGCATTATGGGGAATAGGTTCCAGCAATTTTAGAGTTATGGAGGAGCAATACTAAGTCACTGGTGTACCCCTTTAAATTACAGATTTATGTCAAAATACAGAACCAAAGAACAACAAGGGAACAACAGATACTGATGCAGAAGTTTCAGGAAGTGGATTGCTGTGTCCAGTGTCCATACTCTTTATATACGTATTTAACACATACTAATTGTTGTAGATACTGTTTTTGCAGTTTCCATGCAAGATATAAATATAGGCCTACTTTAATTTAGCTTATAAAACGTGAGCTGATGAATATAAATCAAACTGACTTTGTCACTGCCAATTAAATCAAAATATTTTTCCAAAGATTTAATCATTATTTTTTGTGCCTTTACTGAGGTGTTCCTGGAGCAGTTTCACCACCATCCACAATTTATTTTTATTATAATAATTAAATTTTTGCAGTTGAGCAGCTTATCCATGTCCTTTGTGTGCTGCATTTTTTTGTCAGCTTAGCTTGTTGCATATCACATTTCCTGTACAAACACTTACTACTAGTGGTGGAAGAAGTACTCAGATCCTTTACTTCAGTAGAAGTAGTAATACCAAAATCCATAATTCCATTACAAGTGAAGGTCCGGCAGTTAAAAAATGGATGCACAGAATAAGAAAAATCTGCAAAATATACTTAAATTATTAAAAGTAAAAGTTCTCTTTATGCAACACTGTCCCTTTCAGAGGTTTATGTTGTTATATATTATATTATTGATGCATTTCGTTGCATGTTGCAAGTATGTAATGGGGACACATTTGATTCATGAGCGTCAACTTGACAGCTGCCGTAGAAAGCATCAGTGTGGTCAGAGTCAGAGACGACATCAGGTCAGGCAGTCTGTGAGTCAACTAAACATCAGGCTCCTCAAACAAAGGTTGCCTTCAATTTGTTCCGGTCCATCTGCCCTTTGCCCTCACTCTGCTCCAATTGTCTCTTGGCTTTGACCATGGAGGGCAAGTCTGAAGTCTGATACACTGCCGACCTCATCCTGCTGCCACGGCAACGCAGCTCCAAGGCCACGCCCTCCCACTTCCTGTCCAGATCTGAACCCTGGGGGCCCCGGAGGTCTCGGGACCCTGTGCGGGCTTGCCTCCTGTCTTCTGGGTTATGTGCGGCCCCGATTCTGTCCAAATCCAAGACTCGTTTTGGGGTTGAGTGGTTGGAGCGGGATGAAGGTGACTTGGATTTGCGACGTGAGCGAAGAGGAGGATGTGGTGGAGGAGGAGGAGGAGGAGGTGGTGGTGGTGAAGGAGAGGGAGGGGTGGGGTTGGAAGATGGTGTTCTTCTGCTGGGCATTTTGAAACCTCCTCCTCTTTCCCTCCCTCTCCATCTGTCTCTGTCTTTACCTGAGGAAGAAGAGGCTGCTTTTAAAAGAGACAGAAGGAGGAGACAAAAAAGAAAGAAGAAAAAGCACTCACCGGCACTGCAAACAATCCGCATGCAAGGAACCCTCCGAGAAAACACAACAAAAGAGCAAAATGTTCTGCATTTGTTGGTAAAAGACTGTGGTGCAGGGAGGAATTAAAAAAACAGACTACGAGCTGGAAGGCTAGAAGATGCAGTGCCAAGAAACAAATGTGGATATAGTTGCTTATGAATTTGTCTTTAAATATGGCCTGATTCATCTAAGTTTTAACCAGTAATGCACACATTATTCTTTCTCCATACTGAATACATCATTAAAACACTTGAGTGAGTATAGGTTGGAAGAACTAAGTCAACCTCCAGGCTAATCACCTCAACACAAAATATTTTGCAAGTCATTTGTAAACCTGGCGTCCTATCAGTGTAACAGGATTTGGAGGTGTGGATTAGAGCTACTTATGAAAACCAACCAAACGTTTTGAGTCAGGAGGAGGAGGAGGAGGAGGAGGAGGCTCTTCATTATCTTCGCAAGATCTCTTCAGAAATCAGCTCTAAGGCCCTGTGATCGCCCCTGAATTTGCAGGTGGGATAAAGAGTGAAAAAACACAGAATGGTTCCCGCAAGACAGAGGGTATAATGTGTGACAATGCGGGAGCAGAAAGTTCTCGGTCAGGTGCTTAAAATGTAACAATGTTGCAACCTTGTGCCTGAAAAGTAGAAGCAGAAAAAAAACAAACTTTCTCACTCACAGACAGACAGACACAGACAGACACAGACACTAACAGCAGGTCATAGGTGGTGGACAGAGTGAAGGGACACAGCACCCGAGGGACCCGAGCACCACATGTGTAATACAAATATGTAGGGGGGGGGGGGGGTACAGTGTGAAGTCATTGTAAATGTGTTATTTTACATGTTCTTCACAGAAAATGAGTCAAGACCAAGGAGTCTAAGGGTTGAAATTAAAAATAAATTGCATGTTGTATGTTTATGCGTAGTGTGAAATTAAGAAGAATATTCACATTCTGTCAAATTCAGTGAAATATCACACTCTGACAGCCATGACCAGCAGATAGCCACCTGTTCCAACACCATGGACACACACACGCACACACACACACACACACAGAAAGAGAGAGAGAGCTGGGTGGTAGCAGAGAGCCTGTGACAGATATTCCCATGCTGGCTGTTGGTTATGACATCATGGGAAAGAGGGTTAGATGGTGCTCAGCCTGAATGTGTGTGACTGAAGAGACTGTCCCCACATCTAAATACAGACTGCTGCCATCTACTGGCTGAGAGAAAGATTTTGGTGACAGCTTTCTCTCTGCTCACACAGCTCCAATGTTATTACTAATTATGTGACTTTGACTTTAAACCTGTTGCTGAAAATGTTGCATTACATTTCATTTTCTTTTAGATTACTTTGTCTTGTTTCATAGTTAAAGTTAGACAGGCATTTAACACAGAAGACAATTGTAAAGGCAGGAAAATCACAGGTGAAGTTAATAGTGGAATAATGGAAACTCAGCCATTGTTCATAAATTGTAATATCTTTGGTGATCCCTCAACTTGGATATTTCCATCAGCCTCACATTGTTTACTGCTAATTAGCATTTGTTAGCATGCTATCAATCTAAACCATGATTATGAATGCAATAAAACGCTATACCTGCTAAACATCAGGATGTTAGCATTGTCATTGTGAGCAAGTTAGCTTGCTAATGTGAGCATTTGGCTCAAAGTATCTAGCATGGCTGCAGACGGCTCGTAATGGCAAGTCTGTTTCAGGATTAGCTTTACAAGAGAAGAGGTATGGAGAAACATCTTAAAGATCATAAACACATTTGGTCTACAGATGTTTCCACTTATTTCCTGAGTAGCTCCTAAGGACTGTGTGGACGCACTTGATTGACATGTCTTTCACTCTTTTGATAGTTTTGTTGTACCTCTGGACTGTGGGGGGGATGAAAAGAATGTTACAAGAATGAATAGCCATGGATGCAGGGAGGGGCCCATAGAGAATGCCTATGTGCAGAGTCCATTATGTTGTGCTAAGCCCATGCAGGTTAGGGACCAATTACACCTTTGCTATTTTTATTGGAGAAAAAAAACTGTGAATGTGCAGAGCCTTTAATGTTTGGGCCATACAAGTGCAACTGTAGACTAAAAAAAAAATCAGAATATTCCAAATGAAAGTAGAATTACTTAAAGTGCACTAAAGCAAATAAAACAGTAGTCAATTCAGTAACAACAGTACTTTCAATGAGTTAATTTCCAACCCTGAATAAAAGACCAATCCAGTTCGCCCAAACTCAGCTTAGAAGTGTTGTCTTTCCCTGTCTTCCTCCTTCTAGTCCTCTGTACACCATTGTTTTATCCCTTCTCTCACCAGCAGATGGGGCCATTTGATATAAGAAGCTAAATTGGGAGGCAATTGTTTTGTTGGCGTCCCGGCCAGAGCCAGTGAATTGAAACACCAGTTATACAAAACTGTATTCATATAACAGCTTCTGTGA